TCCCCCAATACCCCCCTGCACGTGGGGGGGGCAAATTTGGGCCTCGGCGGGGTTGAGGCAGGTGGGATTCGCCCTCTTTCAACTTGCCAGTGTGTCCATAAGGCGTCAGCAGACACCGGGTGTCGGGGACATCCCCTTCCTCAGCGGCGCCTCATCTTCCTTCCCCGCTGCAGGTGGCCTTTCCCCCTCCTGCCCCGCCGCCCGGATGATCCCACCCGCATCCACCTGCGGCTCCAGCCATCGGAGAGACCCCGACCGCCAGCCCCGGGACCCGCCTGCCAAGCCCTCATCCCCGAGGACATCCCACCGCTGCAGCCCGCGCGTCCCTGGAGGAGCGGAGACCACCTGCCCTGCTCTCCCCCTTTCCCTCCCACTGCCGGGCGAACGCCCCAAGGTCCTCCCTCGTTCCCTGTCCTCCATTTGGCCAACGGTCACCGGCCCCTGCAAAAAGCAGCCCCCTCCTCAGCGGCCGGAGGAGCCGCATTCCTCCCCGGGGCAGCGTGCGGGCGGCGTAGAGGGCTCTGCCTTGCTCGGGGTGGAAGGAGGAGCCTCAGAGCTCATCTGCGGCAACTCGTCTGTCTCACCGGCTTTTCGGATGCGCAAGCCACCCGCGCCGGAGCCCTCCTTCTCAATAAAGAGATCACCCACGCTCTGCTCCGGGGTGCTGCGTTGGGGAGAAGGAGGGGGTCTCAGAAGTGGGAGACAAGCCCCAACGCATGGGTCACCTCTGGGATGCTCCTGACCCTGTGTCTGCACCTCCAAAAAACCACAGCGGCTGACGCAGGTTGTCGTGGGCAGGTTTAATTAAGGCGACCCCCCTCCCAGCTGCTCGTTACACCCTGTGTTTCAGGAAGAATTTGCCCCAGTAGCGTCCCTTCAGCTGCAGGTCATAGGGGCTGAGGTACTTGCGCATTCCCAGCATGTTGGCGGTGACGATGCGCTCGAAAGTCCAGGGGTTTTGGTTGTTGAGCTTCTTCTCCTCTTCCTCCTCCCGCATCTGCTGGAGGCCATCGCGGCTGATGGGGATGGCGGGGAAGGGCAGTTTCTTGGCCACCTGCGTGAGGAAGGGTTTCACCTCCCCAAACTCGCAGCGCCCGCCTACCTCCACCACCAGACGCCCGCTCTTCACCGCCGTCACGTAATGGTCGATGGGACCCTTGCCGCCCCCCATGCGGTGTCCCAGGCTCTTCCGTGTCACTGGTTTGTAGGGGGCCGGCACGCGCCAGATGGCGAACATGGTTTTGGGGTCCATGCTGCGGCCGATGGTCAGGCGGATCATCTCAAAGTGGCCCCAGTGGAGGTATCCGCCCCCTAAAGCCTGCGGGGGGAAGGACAAAGCACCTCAGTGTGCGAGCACCGGTGGAGGGAGGGGGATGGAGGTTCCCTTGTCCTGCCCTGTGCTAGCAGCCGTGTCCCCCCCCATCCTTCAAATGTGCTTTTCGGGAGGAGCAGCCTCACTGAGGAAGTCTCAAAGCTGCCTTTCCAATTTAATCACCAAGCTGTGTGGTGCGGTTGACACCCTGGAGAGAAGGGATGCCATCCAGAGGGAAATCGAAAGCTTGGAGAAGTGGACCTGTGTGAACCTCATCAAGTTCAACCAGGCCAAGTGCAAGGTGCTGCGCGTGGGTCGGGGCAATCCCAAGCAAAAATCCAGGCTGGGTGGAGAATGGATTGAGAGCAGCCCTGAGGAGAAGGACTTGGAGGTGTTGGTTGATGAGAAGCTCCAACATGAGCCGGCAATGTGCGCTCGCAGCCCAGAAAGCCAACGGCAACCGCATCCCCAGCAGCGTGGCCAGCAGGGCGAGGGAGGGGATTCTGCCCCTCTGCTGCGCTTTGGGGACACCCCCCTGCAGCGCTGCTTCGAGCTCTGGGGGTCCCCAATAGCAGAAGGACACGGAGCTGTTGGAGCGGGTCCAGAGGAGGCCACGAAGATGATTCAAGGGCTGGAGCCCCTCTGCTGGGAGGACAGGTTGGACGGGGCTTGGAGCAACCTGCTCTAGCGTGAGGTGGCCCTGCCCAGAGCAGGGGGTTGGAACTAGATAGTCTTTAAGGTCCCTTCCAACCCAAACCATTCCATGATTATATTCCTTATCCCCTCACTGGGGAATGTGGGGCCCTTCCTGACAGAGGCAGCTGTCAATCCAGCTTTTTCAGAGCCAGTTCGGCACTGGTCCCCCGCAGTTGCTGGTTTGTTTGGAGTTTTCACCGCCCACATGAGGACTCAGCACCAGGTGGGGGTCTCCAGCCTGGGGGTGCCCACTCCTGCACCCTTCCCTCTTCCTGCCCAGGCTGCCCAAACACAGACCTGGCTCCTCCGGGCTTCCCCCTTCCCACCCTCCCCAGCTCTGGCCGGGGCCGGGGTGGGGGGAGCAGGGCCCCAACCCGCTCACCAGGATCCCGTACTGTCCCTGGATGAAGTCGGTGGCCTCCTGGGACGGCCCACGGATGTCACGCAGCTGCCGGGGCTCCCGCTTGACCTTGGGCACCGCCGGCACCTTGTCCATGAACTTCAGCTTCGTCCTCTCCGGGAAGGTGATACCTGACAGGGGACAGGCGTGTGAGGGTCACTGTCCCCAGGATGTCCCCGTGCAGGGGGGTGCAGGTGACAGCAGTGTCCCCGCCATCCCCGGGGGGGTTCATCTCCCCCTTACCGCTGTAGTCCGGGGGCAGCACGTCCTTCTTGAGGCCCGCCCGGGGGACGGCGACGCCGCCGGGACCTGGGGGAGAGAGCGAGGCTCAGAGCG